AGGTGCTGAGCCTGCGGGTGCTGCTGCTGGGGACACTGCGGCTGGAGACCCTGGGACTGGGGGTGCCGGTTCTGGGGGTGCTGCTACTGGTGACGCTGAGTCTGGAGGTGCTGGCGCTGGAGGTACCGGTTCTGCGGCTGGAGCTTCTGGAGCTGCTGGAGGTGCTGGAGCGGCTGGAGACGCTGGAGCTACTAGAGGTGCTGGAGCTGCTGGTGCTGGTGCAGCTGCGCCGACACGACTGTTCTTCGCTCCGCCGTCTCCGTCGTCTCTGCCGCCGCCTGACTCTGCTCTTCGTCAGGTTGTTACTCTCCCGTCGTCTACTGGTCTTCCGTTACAGTCTGGCTCACCGCTGCCTGCTCCCTCTCCTTACACTGAGCAGACAGGTAGTCTTGCTGAGCGTCGTGAGCCTGCGTCGCGTCCTGTCTCGCCTGTTCGTCCTTGTCGTACCGTTCGTCGTGTTCCTCGTCAGCGTCAGCCGGCTGTCCCCGGCACACCCCTTGTAGCCCTGCGTCGGTCCTCCCCTCCGGAGCGTACTCCTCTTCCGTCTCCCCCTGCGTCCTCATTGCCTGACGTCGCGGATCCCGAGTCTGACCGGTTTCGTGCTGAGCACCCTACTGTCACGCGTCTGCTAGCCACAGTTGTCACTGACCCGTCGTTTGAGTCTGCTGCTGCGTCTGCCCTAGTCGCTGAGCTTGTTGACTTTGCTGCTGCCTGTCGTCTAGACTTCGCTGCCAGTCTTGTTGCTGAGTCTGAGTCTGTCTGTCCTCCGTCCGTCGGGGGTGAGTGTGCTCTTAGCACGGACGTCCTTGAGGACAGGCACGAGGACCTTGAGTGTCTTGCGGCTGCTGCGCCTCATCTCGTGGCCATGCTGCTTGCCCCTGAGGGAGACCCGGATGCACCAGACATCCCGACCCCGCGCTCTTACGCTGAGGCGATCGCGGGTGAGTACTCCTCTCAGTGGCAGACAGCCATGGACGCAGAGATGGCATCTTGGAAGTCCACAGGCACCTACGTCGATGAGGTTCCCCCTCCTGGGGCGAACATCGTCGATGGCATGTGGATTTTCAGGGTGAAGCGGCCGCCGGGTTCTCCGCCTGTCTTCAAGGCTCGTTACGTTGCTAGAGGCTTCAGTCAGCGAGAGGGAGTTGACTTCTTCCAGACCTTCTCCCCCACCCCGAAGATGACCACTCTTCGGGTACTGCTGCACGTTGCCGCTCAGCGTGACTACGAGCTTCACTCTCTTGACTTCAGCACAGCCTTCTTACAGGGCAGCCTGCACGAGGAGATCTGGTTGCGCCGCCCACCTGGCTTCACTGGGTCTTTCCCTCCTGGTACCCAGTGGAGCCTCCGGCGGCCAGTCTACGGTCTCCGCCAGGCACCTCGTGAGTGGCACGACACACTGAGGACTACACTTGCGGCTCTTGGGTTCGCTCCTTCCACTGCTGACCCGTCGCTGTTTCTGCGCACCGACACTTCCCTGCCGCCGTTCTACATCCTCGTGTACGTCGACGACCTGGTCTTTGCCACTGCTGACACTGAGGCTCTCGCTCAGGTGAAGTCGGAGCTGCAGAAGAGACACACGTGCACAGACCTGGGTGAGCTGCGCAGCTACCTTGGCTTGCAGATCACCCGGGACAGAGCACGCCGCACCATCACCCTGACTTAGTCACACATGGTGCAGCAGGTCCTTCAGCGCTTCGGCTTCTCCTGGTCCTCCCCACAGCACACTCCTCTGGCTACAGGTCACTCGCTCTCACCTCCACCTTCGGACGAGTCCGTAGAGCCGAGTGGTCCTTACCCAGAGTTAGTTGGCTGCCTCATGTACCTGATGACTTGCACTCGTCCTGACCTCGCGTACCCTCTTGGCCTCCTGGCTCGCTACGTGGCTCCTGGTCGGCACCGACCTGAGCACATGGCTGCTGCTAAGAGGGTACTGCGCTACTTGTGCAGTACATCAGGCATGGGGCTAGTGCTTGGAGGACGGAGTGAGGTGGTGCTCACTGGGCACTCAGACGCGTCTTGGACTGACGACCAGACTACACAGCGGTCGTCACAGGGTTACACCTTCAGCCTTGGCTCTGGCTCTGTTTCTTGGCGGTCTACACGCTCGTCTTCTGTTCTCAGCTCCAGTTGTGAGGCTGAGATCTACGCCACCGCCATGGCTGCACAGGAGCTACGCTGGCTCACCTACCTGCTGACTGACTTGGGTGAGCGGCCTCGTTCTCCTCCAGTTCTGTACGTTGACAACAAGGCGGCCATTGCCTTGTGTGAGGAGCACAGACTGGAGCACAGAACGAAGCACATCGCTCTGCGTTACTTCCTGGCTCGAGAGTTGCAGCAGCGAGGTCAGCTTCGTCTTCGTCACGTGGCCACTCGGGCCAACACTGCTGATATATTCACCAAGGCACTTCCGTCTGGTGATCATCAGCGCTTTTGTACCCTGTTAGGCCTTGTGCCTACGTTTCCACACTTGCTGTAGTCCTTGCTTGTACTGTGATCTATATATGTATATAAATATATATATATTCTGCATGCTTGCCCTTGCTAGGTAGTGATCACTGCTCTATTGTTGTTGCATATATATATACCTCTGCATGTGAACTGGCCTTGTGGCCCTTTGCTTGTGCTCAGAGAGTGTGGTGACGTTGTGATCCACCCTAAGCTTGCTTTGCTTCTCTTGACTGGTCGTGTGACCCTTGTTCTCCCCCACTTTGCCTATGGGGGTGTGTCAAACATATATGCTGCTTATTGTGTAGGCTGTAGTGGGGTAGCCCATATGGGGTACAACCCAAATTAGGGTTTCCTACTTGTACCCATCTTCCTGCTAGTTCATCCATTCCTGCTGCTAGATTCTAACACTCCCCCCCCCCCTTCGCAACCTCGTCATGTCGCTTCTGTCAGCCTTGGCCCGTCCCTTCATGTCACCTTCTCACACCCACCAACTTCATTGCTGTGATTGTTGTGTTTCAGTGATCCCTCATTTCCATCCGTTTCAGTGATCTCACCCTGTCCCCTCCTCCCTGGTCCCCAACTGCTTAAGAAGGCTTGCCTCTTTATCGTCCTCCCCTCCACCCAACCCGTTTGCAACCTTGCCATGTGCCGCCCGTCCCCGTCTCCTTATCACCCTCGCCTCCATCAGTGATTTTCCAATGTTACCACTTTGAGCACCGTGAAAGCAGCTGCTCCTGATTTCACCAATTTCCTCTCCTCCCTCACCCCCACCCCACCCCTTACAGCAACCTCGTCATGTGACGCGTGTCCCTTTTGTCAGGCAATCGCTGGCCTGTACCTGTCACCTTATCACCCTCACCTCCGTCAGTGATCTCCTTATGTCACCACTTTGAGTACTGTGAAAGCAACTGCTTCTGATTTCACCCTTTCCTTTCATCCCTCAACCCCACCCCTTACAGCAACCTTATCAAGTGACTCGTGTCCCTTTTGTCAGGTCATCGCATCGGCCTTGGCATGTACCTGTCCCCTCCCTTATCACCGCCACCCTCCGCAACAACATCACTACTTTTAGCACTGCTTTCAGCTACTCCAGCTGCTCCTGCTGCTCAGAGAGCTTAGTGACGGAAGTGTTGAAGGAAATTGGCCCCGCCCTCGCATGGGCAAAACTGACTTCATGGTCGGGTGTGTGGGAGGTGTAGCCGACCTTCTGCAGGTGTACGAGGGTTGCCTGTACACGAGGTGTATTAGGGAATCCATGCAAGAGTAATCGAAGCATCCGCGAGTGCAACTCAGCCTTCCCGTGCGCATGTACAAGTTGCGCAGCTCGTGCAGAAGTTCGCGGGTGTTCGTCTGCGCAGGGTCGCGTTTGACCCTGCACAACCTTGAGTCTGCACAGGCGAATTTTGGCCAGAAATTCGAATGTGCCTTAATTTCGACCAATCAGGGGCTGACATTTTGAAATGTCAACCGAGGTGCTCAACGAAGGTGCTCGACGAAGGTCGTCGAGCCCCGACGACGAAGGTCGTCAACCCGCGACGACGAAGGTCGTCAACTGGTGATGACGAAGGTCATCACCCTGCAGAGATGTCAAGGACTTCATTTGGTTGACCAAGTTACCTTCTCGACGAGTGCGCGAAGGTGTGCGAACGTCGTCGAGGCTGCTGTGGCGAAGTCGACCGACGTGGCAGCACGTGGTCGACGTGGCTCATCATGTGTAACTGTCAGCATGTGGCTGACAACCTGCGCAATGTACTTGACAGTGCACGTCGTGCATAACTGTCTACAAGCACCTGCGAAGTAGGTGCTTGCACATGTGCTTACAATCACCTGCGGATGCAATGTTTGCAAGCCGCGTGGATGCTGTGTTGGCAAGCCGCGCGAATGCAGCGTTGGCAGGCCGCCATCTGCAGCGTTGGCAAGTCGCGTACGAGCTGCGTTGGCGGACCGCGGACTTGCTACGTTGGCAGGTCGACAACTCTGTCACGCTGGCAGTCGACCTGCCTGAGCACTAGCAAACCTTGCATGTGATGTAGTCAATCTTTGCCATTGTCATGCTCATTCTGAACTCTGTTATTCTCAACTTTCCTTAGTGAAACTCTTGCTGTTTTGCCCTGTGAAAACACAAGTCCTAGAGAACACAGACAGAGCTATGATCACTCCTACAACCAGTGCCCACCCTGTAGTCTAGCTCCCACCGTTGTAGAGTTAATCTCCTCAGGAAGTAATTTGTTTATGTGATTGTCCTAGTGCTGAATCTAGTCACCCTTGTATTCTCATGTTTATCCTCCTTGTTGGAGAAGCATAATCCTTCATAGCCTTCAAAATTATCCTGAGTCATTTTGCCTAAAAGTTAACTCACACTGCAAAGAGCTTCAGTTAAAAATATCCGTGAGTGGTTTTCCCGTTTCACCAGTTTTAGAAGGGGGAAGAGGTTTCCAGTGCGTACGTGCATACACGGTGGCTTGGAACGATTCCACGCGGTGGAGGGCGGTCTTCAATCTTCACCGTTTTGCACCGCGACGCAACTCAGCTGACCGCACAGAACGAGCATGCGCTGCCTTTTCTCAGCATTTGGAGTTCAGCGTTCTTGGGAACTCCGCATTCTTGGAAATCCTGCATTTTTGTGCCTGCAAGAGTCTCCTATTCCTTGAAATTCTAAGCAACGGCGTCACCTGAGCTGCTTGTCCCTCTTTCGACGCGGGCGCTGCGTAATCTCCTTTTGTAATCGAGACTTCTCCAGCCGTTCCACCTGGTGTTAGTATCCGCAAGTTATCCTCGGTTCCACGCGTTTCAAGACAGCGACCAGATTAGGGAGAGAACACATTTGTCGAGCAACACATAGAAAGAGAAACTATTTGCGGTCTTAGCAGCTCGAGCAGACTTGGAAATGCTTCGTCGAGAAACTATCGCCAGTTTCGTCTCCCCAGCTGGAGTCCGCTCTCCAGGGGAATCACACCATTCCGTCGCTCGTTCCACCCTTTCTCACCCGTCTCCACTCCGTCTCCTCTCCTTTCCACCGCTCTTAACAATTCTATTATCAGCATGGCCGCCATTCAGGAGTCCGTATGTCGGCGCTGCAGAACGCTTTTCAGACGGGAGGAGAACACCCAAGAGGCGTGTCGGTTCCACCCCAAGATGTTTGTGAGCCGCAAGCATGACGATCAAAAGAGGTGCGAGCAGGTTTGAAGGTTTATGAAGGACGCTGAAGAGGAGGAAGGGAAGGGGACACTTTTCATGAACAGCCAAGAGGCGTGTCGGTTTCACCCCAAGATGTTTGTGAGCCGCAAGCACGACGACCAAAAGAGGTGCGTGCGTGCGTGCTAAAAGGCATAAGGGGAGAGAGGGGAAAACTGGAAGAGTTTAGAGGCGTGTCGGTTCCACCCCAAGATGTTTGTGAGCCGCAAGCACGACGACCAAAAGAGGTGCGTGCGGGCTGGAGGGGTGTTGGATAGAGGGGGGTTCAAGGCGAGGGGGAACAGGCAGGAGGCGTGTCGGTTCCACCCCACGATGTTTGTGAGCGGGAAGCATGATGATCAAAGAAGTGAAGGGAGGTGGGAAGGAAAGTGGGAAGACAGGTGGGAGAGAAGAAGGAAAGGCGGAAGTGGGGAGGAAGGGAGGTGGCAAGGAATGATTGTCCATGAACAGTCAAGATGCGTGCTGGTTTCACAACAGAATGTGTGCTGTGTCAATGTGTCATATGAACTGAAAGACGGAGATCCCGAGTATCCGGCTCGATTGTATAATGCTGTGATAGTGCCACAACCCACCCCCCTTATCCCTTCCTTCTTTCGACACCCACAGGTACTATGAACTGAAAGACGGAGATCCTGAGTATCCTGCTCGCTTCTATGATTGCTGCGGTGCTGAGGATCCCAGTGCCCCTGGATGCACCACTGCTTGCCACGTGTCTTACGATGATTGAACGGGTTATGCTATAATTATTCACCCGAGAGGAAAGCCGAGCATGGAGCACGATGAAAGAAGAAATCCTTCTCTCAACTGCTTTGTGAGTATGTGAAGACACAGGGTGCATGGAGCCTGTATCAGTTACCCAGATATTTTCTAGGTGTGCTCCGTTGTTTTATTCTAACAAATAACATATGAGTGCATACAGAAACCGAGTGAATCTGTGTCAAAAATAAATTTATCGTATCACCTCTTCCTTGGCTCCTATCTCCGTGCCTAGCTGTCTAGGGCTCTAAGTTTCTGCTCTGCTGCAACAGCCGAAGCTACTGCAGATGGTGCTGCTGATTCTCCCGCAGTGGTTGCTGTGCTTGCTGGTGCTGCTGAGGTTACCATGATCACTGATGCTTCCTTTCAACGACCTCCACTAGAGCGCCTTATCCCCGTGCACAAACTGCCGAACCTCGTCGTACATGACGAGGATGAATGCCGCCCCAGTGCCTCGGAGGATATTGCTGAAGAGCCCCTTATAGAACCCCAGCACGCCCTCCTGCCGATACACGTGCTTCCAGCACGCCCACGTGCTCTTGAATACCACTATCTTCCGCCCTGGTTGCTGCTGCTGATGTTGCTGCTGCTGGTGTTGCTGGTGCTGCTGGTGGTGATGTTGTTGCTGTTGCTTCTGGGCTGTGAGTGTCTGCTCCTGAGCCTTGCCCTGTGATTGACCCGCTTGGCTGGGTTGACCTGCTTCACCTGGTTGACCAACGTAAGGCTGGGCCGGTTGACCTGGTTGACTCAGTTGGTGGGTGTCAAACGAGTGACTCAGAGGACATGCAGCAGGCGCAGGCACTTGCACGTTCGGTGTTTGTGCAGCATGCATGCTGGTGGCAACAGCAGCAGGATTCACAGGATTGACAGAATTGACACCACCCGTTGCTTCTGCTCCTGCAATGACTGCAGCTAACCCCATCCCTGCTGCTGCTCCTCCTGACCCTACTGCACTTAACACCGTTCCTGCTCCCCTTGCCACTCCTGCTCCTGATCCTGCTGCGGCTTCAACCGCTGCCACTCCTGCTACCCCTGCCGGCCCTGCTCGCCCCGCTTCGCCTCTCCTCGGCTTTGCCAGCCCAGCTTGCATCATCATGCGGTGTCGCACAGTGTCAAACGGGTAAGACACTATGCTCGCTGTGGTCGTTGCTGCCTGTGCCAGCATCCACCTCAGCCAGAACGGCGCGTGCCCCAAACCCCCATCCTCCTCTCCGGCCCTCCCCTTCTCTCCTCTCATCGCCACAACGTTTGCCCCTCTCGTTCCTCCCCCCTCTCCCCCTCCCCTTCCCCCTCCTCCTCCACCTCCCCCTCCTACGCCGTGGCCCTTCAAAAGCAGCTGCTTGGCGCTATCGAACCCGCCAAAGTACAGACTCCTATGCACGATAATCCCATGAACGGACGCAGGAAATCCGCGATATAAGCCTCGGATCCCCTCCGCCCGCCAGAGCGACACTATAACGGATCGCATGCCTGCAAACTGCCTGCGCGTGCCTATATCGGTGGCTAGACGCGTGTGTGCCACATCTAGGGGGTACGTGACTAGGAGGCTCGTCGCTCCTGCTGCTGCGCCTGCCAAAAAGTTTCCTGCTGCGATTCGAGACGCAGAAGGCTCGGCGAGTAGGTGAGACGGGGCGAAGAGAACGCGATAATAGTCCTGCGCACAGGGGAAGGTGGGTTGGGAAGGAGGGCAGGATAGAGTGGGGAGGAGATAGTTGGAAGGGGGAAAGGCTTCAGAAGGAGGGAAGAAAAAGAGAGAGTGGTTACCCAGGCCTCCCAGGCCTCCCAAACCTCGTGCCGTTCCCTCTCTACAGGGCCCGACCCACACAGACCTCTCAGGACTGACCTTGAATGCGAAGTTGAGCGCAAGAGACGGGTAGTAACGCATAACGCTGGTCCCGTTCCCCCTCCACAGCGCCCAGAAGCCTTCCTCCTTTACAATCGTCGTCACCGCGTCCACGAACCCGCGGTACCGCCGGTGCTGCCCCGCGAGAATTGCGGCGTTGCTGTCCTGCGTCTGCAGCAGCAGCTTCACGCGCTCGATCGGCGCCACGATCGTGTGCGACACGCCGCCTAACGCGCCGCCCACGGCGAGATCCAGCGCGAACGACTGCCAGCTCGCGCCCTGCTGCTGCCGCCACCGCGCCAGCTGCTGCGCCGCCTGCGTAGCCTGCGCCGCTTGCGCCGCCGGGCCCGCCGGAGCCGCCGAGGCCGCCGGGCCTGCCGACGACGCTTGTGCTGGTGCGTTTGCCGCAGTTGTTGCTGGTTCCGATACTAGGGTTTCCGGCGTTTCGCCGCTGGTGGTGGTTCGGAGGGACATGCCGCTCAATTGCAGCCGTCCGATCGTATCTGGGGACGTATGGAGCAGTTGCAGCCGTCCGATTGCACCTGCGGAAGGTGAATGGACGTGAGAGTGTATCCGCGCTACTGCATGCTGAACTGGCCCATACAATCCCAGATTTTGCCGCGTGGAGGGATGGATTGAAAGAGACCGTGATGACAACCGGTCAAATACTGTAGAATGGCAATCGCCATGACAATTCTGGTAACTGTGGTAACCAGTTACACTCGGCTGTGGAGGCGAGGAAAAGGCGTCTGGCTTTCTGCTTTCAGGAGGAAGAGCCGCCGAGTGCAGATGGATCGTATCTGCCGCACATGACGGCGCATTCGACGGCGCACTTGACTGCGATAGGCGAAGCCGAGCTGTATGCATTGTTGCGATCTAATTGATCCGATTTTATCCGATGATGTCCTAATTCTTCAGGCCTGATCCTGATGCAGGTGCGGCCTCATTTCCTAAACGGCTGTTTTTGTCAGACGAATAACTCTAGTGTGATTACTACTAGCGGGACCAGGAATCAAGTTCGTGATCATGCCTCAGCGCCGTGAATTCTAGACTCAGCACGGCGAGTTCAAGATAAGAGCCATGGACGCCTCAAGCCAGACGTGCAGTAAAGAGAACATTAGAACCAGCCGAACGAGGCTTTTCCGAGCGGTTAACTTGGTGCCCAGGGATGATCTCTAAGGCGGGTATCCAATGTACCTTCACCAGGTAAGTGCACCTGACCTAGAGATTAGTCCGTCCGAGCTTGGCCAGGTTTCGCCCGAAGCTGGTGAGGTGCTGTGGTGAACCGAAGAGGCTTGGGAAAAAAGACTTGGCTACCTGGGGCTCTCCGGCGAGGCTCGGCATTCAGGTTATGAGCGGCTGGTATGGGATCTCCAAGGCCATGGGGATTTGGCGCCACGTGACAAACACTGGGCCCTAGAATCAGAGGCCGACAAACCCAACTGCGTTATGATGTTAGAAGCCGGAACAAACTATGAGCAGGATTGAGAGTTTATACTAATCAATGACACCAAGAAATTACCTAAATGAGGAAAACTATGTTACAAATTCCTTTCTTATTTGAGTCAACCTCCGTACATCCCAAAATCCTGGAATGAAACCCTACACAACCAACTAACCAAGTCTTGGATCCATCCCATGCTGCCACACATACACCATCTCATCCCACCCGCACGATACCATGAGCCCTTCAACCAACGGGCTCCAATCCAACCCCACCGCAAACTCCGTATGATGATCCAACTTCCCTAGTAGTGCATCTTCCGGGGCTCTAAAATCCCACGAGCAAACTGTCATATCATACGACGCCGAAGCAAGCAACGGCTCGTGGAACGGCGAGCACCGCACGCGCCGAACCGCATACGCATGCCCTTGCAACCGAGCCAGAGGCTCGGGGTGGCCAGGCCCGGGCCGGGGCGCCCGGATGTCCCACATGCAGATGGTTCGATCGACCGAAGCTGTGGCGATGAGTGACCCGCCGCCGTACTTGTTCCAATCGCAGGAAAGGATTTCCATGTCGTGGGCTGGGAGGATGAGCACGGATCGTGGCTCACGGAGGTCCCAGATACGGAGGGTGCAATCGCCAGATGCTGATGCAAAGACATCGGGGTGAGCAGGGTTCCTGTGGATGTTGGGAGTGAATGAAAGGAGAGGGGGTGAGCAGGGAGGCACGGGCACGGATCGCGGCTCATGGAGGTCCCAGATACGGTGGGTGCAATCGCCAGATGCTGATGCAAAGACATCTGAGTGGGCTGGGTTCCTGTGGGGGTAATGAGTGGACCAAGGGAGAGGGAGGAGATGAAGGGAGGGGAGGGTACGAGGGGGGAATTGGCACGGATCGCAACTCACGCAGGTCCCAAACGCGGAGAGTGCAATCACCAGATGCTGATGCGAATATATCAGCATCTGGTGATTGCACAGGGTTCTTGCGGAGGTGGGGAGTGGCCCAAGGGAGAGGGGGGGAAGATGAAGGGAGTGGGAGGGGGCCTTCCATGTGATGGGCTGGAAGGATGTGAGTGTGGCTCCATGACTGCAGATTGAATGCTCACTGAATGTTCCTATGTATCAGATACATATTTAAAGGTAAATCTCAAAACATGTCCCATACCAGACAGCAGAGCAAACGCAATATGTGTGCTCCCTGAACGTCCTCAGAGACTGTTTCGAAATACGTATCTAATGCATGGCAAAGAAAAATCTCAATACATGCCACAAACCCAACAGGCCATACCAGACAGCAGAGTAGACGCAGTAAGTGTGCTCCCTGAACGTCCTCAATGATTGACCCGACTCAAGCGCCCATAGCTGGGAGGGGACGGATGAGAGAGCGCATGACAGGAGGAGGAATGAGGAGAGAAAGATGCAGCTGGAGGATGAGACTCCAGGATGAGTCCCATCCGCATTGTACGAGGGGAAGGATGAGAGAGCCGGGACCTTGTGCAAAAACTGGGGCAGTGCACTGCACCATTACCTCATTTCGATGCACCAAAACATGGTGCAGTGCACCTGGACGGATTACCTCACAATGTGGTCAACCGCATTGCAGTTGCAGTTACCATACCTGGTTGTTCTACCTTCTCTGCCATCCCTGCCATTTGATAGTACCACACCTTTATTGTGTCATCCCAGGATGATGAAAGGAAAGAGTCACGTCGCACAACGTTCCAGTCCACCGATTGGCTGGAGGTAAAAAGCAAAAGAGGTAGGGAGAAAAACGACCTGTTTCTTTAATTGGTCCTTTTTTCTCCTCCTTCTTTGTTCGTTTTCTTTCTAGAAGGGTGTGACAGGGAGCGGAGATGGGGAGGGTGTGGAGGATCGAGATGAGGTCAGAGGGCAATGAAAGGTGGGGTCATATGCAGGAGTAGACTCAAGACCGCAAAGAATCGCGATATGTACACTCAAAAGGGCAGTGAATCAGCACAAATACACAGAGGGCAGGGGATACACACACTTCTCGAATGTGCTCTTCAAAGCTGCGGATCGGGTTGCTGGCAGGAGGGAGAGCCAAGTCCCATATCTGCAGAAGAGGGGGGGGAGGATACAAAGGCAGTGAATCAGAACAGATACACTGGAGAGGGCAGGGGATACACACACTTCTCGAATATGCTTCTCAAAGCTGCGAATGGGGTTGCTGGCGGGGGGGAGAGCCAAGTCCCATATCTGCAGAAGGGGAGAGGAAAGATGAGAAGGTTCAAATGAGTGTAATCAAGAATCTCACACACAGTAAGCCACTACCCATATCAAGAGAAGGTGAGAGAGTTGAGAGGAAGATTTAACGGGAGCCACAGAAGGAGATGAGGGGAAGAAGAGGGGGCGAGGGGGCGAGGGGGGGAGGGAGGGAAGCACAAAATACATTGGCACTTTCAATGCCTTCAGAACCGTCAGGAATCTTAGCACACTTACAGCTCAACACAGGGAGTTTAAACAGTAAAGAAGCAAAGCAGCAAGGGTGTGGTAGGCACAACAAGCACTCACCTTGACACTGCCATCGCCACTGGCGGACACAAGAAGATTCTCATTCGCCTGCAGCCAAGGAAAAGAGGCGGAGAGGAAAAGACAGAGCAGGGGGGCGAAGAAGAAGGGGCGGATGAGAACGGATGGAGCAATTGGGCTGGAATTTGGATGGATGGAATGGAAAAAGGCTAGGGTCAAACAGAGGCTGTTGACAAACATGCAAAGAAGGTCCATGAGCAGACCTTCCCACACTGAATCCGTCACATGAGCAGACCTTCCCACACTGAATCCGTCACATGAGCAGACCTTCCCACACTGAATCCGTCACATGAGCAGACCTTCCCACACTGAATCCGTCACATGAGCAGACCTTCCCACTGATTCACATAATCCGTCATCTTTTGATGCCTACGCTATTGCTCGCCTGGCCTCACCTCACCCCAACCTACTGCAGCCTGCAAAGCAAACAACAGCACCTCACCTCACCGCACTGCGCTGCAATCCACTGCAGCGGCCTGCAATGCAACAACCCCACTGCACCGCACTGAACAGCACTGCACCGCGCAGCATCTCACCTCACTCCAGCAGCAGTCGTACAGCCCATCTGCCATGCCATACGCCATCACCTCCACCAACCCACTGCAGCAGCCTGCAATGCAAAGCAACAACTGCACTGCACCGCACTGCACTGCACTGCAACGCACTGTACCGCACTGTACCACACTGCACCACACTGCACCTCACCTCACTCCAGCAGCAGTCGTACAGCCCGTCTGCTGTGTCATACGCCATCACCTCCACCAACCCGCCTCCTGGGGAGAGCTGAGGGACCGGCAACGGGTGGTGGTTGAGCAGGGAGGGGGGAGGGAGAGGATGGATGGCGGGGGGAAGAGAACTCAATTCTGGGACGATACAACAAGCAGCAGCAGTCATACAGCCCATCTGCCGTGTCATACGCCATCACCTCACCTCCACCAACCCGCCACCCGGGGAGAGCTGAGGCACCGGCAACGGGTTGTGGGGAATGAAGGGGGAGAACAGATGGTGAAAAGAAGAACAGGAAGGGAAAGGAGGGGGAAAGAGGGGCCCGCGGGGTTGGAGGCTGACGCAACGACTTTCGAGGGGGTTGGACGCAACGGTGCATTTTGAGCATTTTAGCAAGTGATGTGGTGCCAACGACACCAAGGTTGAGTGCGGTGCTGTGCGGTACCTCGAGTACGTGCAAACGGCCATTGCCAATGATGCCAAAGTTCTGTGCCGTTGCGACAGCCAGCCGATTCTCCACAAACGGACTGAAGCGAGCCTGCGGCCAGACAGGGGCAAAGGGAAAAGCGCAAAGGTGGATAGGAGGAACGGAGTCATGAGAGTCGGGAGACATATACGAACTGGGGCTGAAGCAGGCATGTGGGAGTTGCGGAATACGAGAGAGGAGAAACGTCGGAAGGTGAAAGAGGGGGGTGAGGAGAGGTGTGGGGGGGAATGGAGAATACGGAACTTCATATTGCCTACCGAGTATCCATTAAACGCGGTCTTGAAACGAGGCATCGCTGCAAATCGCTGCTCTCCCTACGGCAACGCCTCCAAGCTATTTTGAAGCTTTGGACAACTCTCCAAACGGTCGACTCCGAGAAGGGTCAATCCCGAGAACGTTCGATCCAATTTATTCAACAAAAAGCGTTCTTATCGGCTGGGAAGCTAAGAACTCTTCAGAAAAATCTGCTGATAGTTACTAGCTTTAGGTAATGTAATTCGCCGGTGAAGGAAGATAAAGAGCTGGAAAGGCGAACATTCTTTTGTGCTCGCAAGAACGAATCGGGGGTTGTGAAAATGCAGGAGGTAATCGAAAAGCTCCTTCAAGAAGGCTCGCTCGCTGCTACGCTGAAGAACAAGGAATGGAGGACGACAGTAAGAAGAAATAATAGAGTAGTTGACACGTCAGCATGAGGTGGCAATGGACGAAGACAGCAAGAAAAGGGGAAAGGTCCGGAGGAACCTCGAGGTTGATTTGCAGGTGAGCTTGACGAATCGGCTAGTTAGTCACGAAACATTTGCAACGAGAGTAGTCTCTGTAACTAGAAGTCGTTTTTTGCGAGTCATCATCAACAACGACGAGTAATCGTGCGGAAACAGTTCGCAAAGGGTCTTGCGAAAATGACATGCGTGTCTCACTGCGACAGCGAGAACGTGGGCGAATTCCGTCCAAGCACAGGGAACTCCACCCATCCTGGCAGCCCCAGTAGCAGGGACGGAGAGACATTTCATTTCATTTCTATTCTTCCATTTTCCCATTCCATTCTTCCATTCTTCCTTCCTTCCATTTAGGAGCAAATTCAGTGATTTCTTGCCATGTCCTTGACACTCCGCTGATTCTAACGGAGCTCATTCGTTGATTCTGACAATTCTTGACAATTACTACCAACTTCCCTCACATACTTGATACTAATTTCCTGTCATCGGGGACGCTCTTCGTATGAGTTTGCTGACCCTGGCCATACTTATTGCTGACCCGACCATACTAATAGCTGGCCCGACCATTCTAATAGCTGGAACGACCATCCAAAAAACTGGCACGAGCAAACTAATTGCTGGCCCGAAACAGAATGGAGACTGTTGCCGCGGTTCCTCCTACTCGATTTCTTTCCAAGAAGGTCGTAATACCTCGCAATTTCTTAGGACTGACACATCATGTGCGGCTAATCCCGCTGAATAGACAGGCCTCCGCGTTCCACCTTACGCATCAGCTTGACTCTGTATCATTTCCGATTAGTCCATCTTGCAAGCAAGCATTCGTTAAGTTGAATCAGGGGAGAGGCTCAAGCGTTAGCAGGCTGAATTCGCATGATCCTGACCGTTCGATTGACATACCACGTGCGCCAGATGAGCAGGAAGCGACTAATCCAGCAGTCGAAGATGAACGACTGAAATTGCTGTGCGACATTGTCGCACGAGCTCAGAATGAAAAGACGATGCGAGAATCTGGACAGGAGAAAGGAAAGAGCACACAAGAGGACAGGAGAATAACAGACGACGAAATTGGGGTCACGGCTCCTACCGCCACTGCTGCTACCTCCAGTATCAAATCGAAATCCAAAATCAAAGCCAGAATTAGATCCAGTATTGAATCCGGTACCACTTCCTCTGCCACGGACGTCTCCCTTTCTAATCTGCCTACAGCAGCAGAGGCCCGTTTCATCTCCTCCCTCCCACTTGAAACGCTCGTTTCAGCAGCCGGAACAATTCGCGACCAGCGAGAGGACCCCCATATAGTCACATTCTCGCCCAAGGTCTTCATTCCAGTCACATTTCTCTGCAGGGACACATGCGCCTACTGCACCTTTGCCAAGCCTCCGGATCAGGTTCGGCGCGCATACATGACCGAAGCTGAGGTGTTGGAAGTGGCTCGGGCTGGAGCTGCGGTCGGGTGTGTGGAGGCTCTGTTCACTCTGGGAGATAAACCAGAGCTCAGATACGAGGAGGCGAGGAAAGAGGTCAGTAGGTTCTTCTCTCCTTACCCTTTTTTCCCGCTTCCCACCTAGCCAACAGATCGTTACAGTGCTAAATGCTCTTCTGTCTCCTCAACCCCACCTCTTCATTGCATTTCCCTTGCCACTCCATCTGCAGGAGCTGGGATTTGCCTCCACCATACACTATGTCGCCCACCTAGCCGCCAGAGTGCTGCGGAATTGCCTGATGTTGCTCCTCCCTCCCGTTTGTCCCGTCCATTGTCATTCCAGCTGCAGGAGCTGGGATTTGCCTCCACCATACACTATGTCGCCCACCTAGCCGCCAGAGTGCTGCAGCGCACGGGACTCCTGCCGCACGTCAACGCGGGCACCATGGGGGCGGCAGACCTTGTCCTTTTGCGCCACGTGGCGGCCAGCCAGGGGCTGATGCTCGAGAGCACAGCAGAGGCGCTGATGCAGCCCGGTGGGGCGCACTGGGGATGTCCAGATAAGGAGCCGAGCGTGAGACTGGCGACAATCGAAGCTGCTGGTGAGTTGGTTGGCATCAAGGCTGAGAGCTATAGGCTTATAGCGCACTGGTGGGGTAACACTAGAGAGAAAATAGGAGAGCACAGCAGAGGCGCTGATGCAGCCTGGTGGGGCGCACTGGGAATGTCCGGATAAGGAGCCGAGCGTGAGGCTGGCGACAATTGAGGCTGCTGGTGAGTTGGTTGGCAGAAAGAGGGAGAGATATTGCGCACAGGAAGGGTAGCACTGGAGAGCACAGCAGAGGCGCTGATGCAGCCCGGTCGGGCCCACTGGGCATGCCCGGATAAGGAGCCGAGCGTGAGATTGGCAACGATTGAGGCTGCTGGTGAGTTGTGAATGGTGAGAGGCATAGCACACTGCCCCAAGATCAGATCACTGGATAGGCTAAGAGAACCGTGCACTGAGAGAACCTTGAACGGTGTTGGGTAGGTACCATGTAGAAATCTGCTAGCACTTGGAGACCTGCACACACAGCACGGGCACCTGCAGGAGATCATCGTTTCGCCGTTTTCCTCCCGTCACACATTCACCCCCTTCTCTGCCCACTCCCCTCGCACTCTCTTCTCACTCCCTCTCACACAGGTGCTGCCCGTGTACCCTTTACAAGCGGTCTCCTTGTGGGCATAGGCGAAACACGAGCTGACAGACTAAGGGACCTGCTAACACTTCGAGACCTACACTCCCGCTACAAGCACATACAGGAGGTGATCATCCAGCCATTCAGAGCAAAGGAGCAGACGAGGATGGGCGGGTGGGGGCATGCAGAAGCAGAGGAGTTGCTGTGGAGTGTGGCGATGGCACGGATAGTTCTGGGGGCTCGTATGAGCATTCAGTCCCCGCCCAACCTGAGGTGAGAACTGCAGGCACACAGATGCACCGTAGTGTGCTTACAGGCACATACAGGAGATTATCATCCAGCCATTCAAAGCCAAGGAGCAGACGAGGATGGGCGGGTGGGGCCATGCAGAAGCGGAGGAGGTGCTGTGGAGTGTTTGGCGCTCATATGAGCATTCAGTCACCGCCCAACCTGAGGTGAGAGGGGAAAGGGTGAGCCAGGGCAGAGTGGGGGGGTGGAAGTGGAATAGGGCAGGGATCATGCTTGGTGCATTCAGTCATTGCCAGTCATTGCATATCCTCTGTTAAAGTTCATCATTTGAACCCATTCGCCCTCCTTCACCCCCCTCGTGGTTTTGTGGCAGTGTGGGGGACGTGGCGCAGAGTGCACTCATAGCAGCGGGGATTAACGACTGGGGAGGAATCTCACCATTCACTGCCTGGTGTTTTATAGAAGTCTTAAAGCCCCTTTCCTTCTTGCCTCCCTGTTTCATGGCGTGTGGCAGTGTGGGGGACGTGGCTCAGAGTGCACTCATAGCAGCGGGGATTAACGACTGGGGAGGAATCTCGCCAGTCACCGTTGACTGGGTCAACCCTGAGGTGAGAGCAGTGCAGGGTCAAGCACCCGCAGTTGACCGGGGTCAGGTCAACTGCAAGGTAAGGAACTGAGGGGGAATCTTGCCAGTCACCGTTGACTGGGTCAACCCTGAGGTGAGGCGCTGGAGTGTGCGTTGATAAGGGCGCTGAAGCTCGCAGTTGACCAGGTCAACGCCATTAGTCTTGAATTGTCTCAGGACGTGCTAGCCAATGTCGGCACATCATTTGTCCCATACATCTCCCATATCCTCTCACCTACACTCCCTTCCCCTACCTACCCTGATCCCTCTTTTCTTGCTCACTCTTCCTCTCCGCTTCACCCTTCCATTCCCCCTTTCCCCACCCCATCCATCCTCTCCCCACTTCCTTATTCCACTTTCTCCTTTTCCCCATTCTCTTCCCGTTCCCCCTTTCTGCACCCCGCCCCCCCGGGCACACATTCACAAGCTGCGTGATAAAGGCGAGTTTTTGGAACGTGCCACGCACATTCACGTCTCAAGAACTCTCGTTTTATCACGCGTCCCTCTTCCCCCCCCGCCTCTCTTCCCGTTCTCCCCTTTCTGCACCCCCAGGCACCCTGGCCGCACATTCGTGAGCTGCTTGATAAGAAGAAGAATAAAAGTTTTTGAGACCTCTCATGTGTCCCTTTCTTCTCTTTCCCCCTTTTATCACACGACCCTCTCTTCCCTTCCCCACTTTGTGCACCCCCAGGCACCCTGGCCGCACATTCACGTCTCAAAAACTCTCTTCTTATCACACGTCCCTCTCTTCCCCCCCTCTCTTCCCCCCCTCTCTTCCCCCCCTCTCTTCCCCCCCTCTCTTCCCCCCCTCCCTTCCCGTTCCCCCTTTCTGCATCCCCAGGCCCCCTGGCCGCACATTCACAAGCTGGCGGCGGTCACTGCAGCTTCTGGGAAGGTTCTCGTGCCTCGCCTGCCAGTCTACCCCAGCTTTCTGTCACTGCACAACCAGGACACGTGGCTGGTGAGTGTGGTGACACGTGGCTGGTGAGAATGGAGACGTGTGGCTGGTGAGCATATTGACACGTGTCTGTTGAGCATGTTGACACGTGGTTGCAACCCTGCTGCCCCTGCCTCCATGATACCCTTGCCACAGTTGCACACAACCCTGTGGCAAGAAGCACAGGAGTGCATCCACATCCACTCCTGTGCAGCTTCAAGACCTCTCAAGCCAAGAGTCCGTTTCGGTTTCCTGCTCTCTCTTCCTGTCTCCCTGGAAAGCCGCTGCCCCTGCCACATAGTGCAGACAACCGCGTCAGGTGGCTACGCCAGGTGCGAGCGAGCTGTGTTCCTCTGACGCCGCGAGTCCATGGCACCCTTTTCGTCTCTCAGTCTCCCTGCCCCCAGCCCATTCACTCCCTGCCTGCCCTCCCTCCCTACTCCCCATCGATGCCATCAGGACCCTGTGGTCCTTCCCCACGTGCTCCAACTCTCTGACAGCTCGGGCTATGCGAGGTGCCAGCAGTGGGCGCCTGGAACGCTGCTGCCCTTGCCACCAGGTGCAGGTGGCTTGCTGGGACGAGCAGCAGCAGGAGGAGGATCAGAAGCGGCACCCGCAGCAGCAGCAGCAGCAGCAGCAGCAGCAGCAGAAGGAGAATTAGAAGCAGTAGAATCAGAGGAGATTAGTGGAGGAGGATGTATAACTGTAGGTGCAGATGGGTTGCTGACGGGGACAGAGAGACGTGCCCACGTGGCAGGTGATGACGTGGACATTAGACCGAGTGACAAGGCAATGCGAATGCATGAGGTGGCACGGGCAAGTGATGACGTGGCGCGCTCTCTTGAACGAGCTCTGGAGGGACGCAAATTGTCTGAGGTGAGTGTGCTGATGTGAACCATTCCGTTTCTCCTGTGCCTCATGCCCTCCCGCACGGTGAATCTTATGCACACACGTGATGCGCTCAAGTTTTTCATGGGGTGTTAAATCCAATTCCCTTTCGACATGCCAACTGATGTCCTGTGTGTGTGTGCAACTGGCTGGCATGCTGTTGATGTGCCGTGGTGCCCCATTCCAAATCAGACGGAGATAGTTCGGCTCTTCTCTGCACGCAGCACTGACTTTCATGCGGTGTGCCATGCTGCGGATGGGTTGAGAGCAGTGGTGAACGGTGACGAGGTGTCGTACGTGGTGAATCGCAACATCAACTACACCAATGTGTGCACCTATGCCTGCCAGTTCTGCGCTTTCAGGCACGTATGACAAGCTGCCTCGTCAGATGTGTATGGCAATCTGCCACATCAGGCATGTGTGGCAAACTGCCATGTCAGACACATACGGTCAGCTGCTACGTCACATCTCAATGAACATGGATGACATGGGCTGTTTCCAATTTGTGACTTTTGAGACGTCTCAAAAGTCGAGCATGGATGACACGGGCTGTTTTCAATTTGTGTTGAATAACGTTCTGAACTTTGTTTCGTCTCCCTCCCGCCTCTGACTTTGATGCAGCAAAGGGAAATCAGCAGAGAGCCTAAGGGGCCAGCCATACCTGTGAGACTGCCCCCTTGCAATGCTGCTTTTCCTTACTGTCATGCCCTGCCATGCTGTCATGCCACGTCATCTTGCCATGCTGTCATGTCGTGCCACGTCATCCTGACATGTTGCACATGCCACATCATGTTCGCAATGCTGCCTTTCCTTGCTCTCATGCCAAGTCATCTCATACCATGTGCTGCCATGCCACATGCATTCCGTTCCACTCTACTTACATGCACTGTGCGGATGCCACGTGGCAGCATGTCATTAGAGGAGATCAGCAGTCGAGCCAAGGAGGCTTGGGAGCGAGGCGCAACCGAGGTCTGCATGCAGGTATCGGCACCGGGAGCATGCTTGGAGCTCTATTTAACTTATGTAATCATGACTCGTCATCTATTTGTAGTTCTAAGAGCCTTCATGTAGTTGTACGGATGAGGCAATTCTTCAGTCGGTTCAAGCATCGTTGTGGCCCTGCCTCTCCTCCCGCATTGCCCCCTCTGTCCCCCTATCTTGCCCCATTCCCAATGTTCCAGGGAGGCATACACGCGGACTTCACAGGAGAAACCTACCTCTCCATCCTCTCAGCTGTCAATCCTTGGCAACTCCCCCTCTCTTCCATGTGCCTCCATGCCTCTATCCAGGGAGGCAGGGAGGCACACATCCGGACTTCACAGGAGAAATTTACCTCTCCATCCTCTCAGCCGTCAAGCTTTGACGGATTTACCACTCTGCCCTCCTGCCCCCGTGCCTCTATCCTTGTGTGCTCCCGTCCCCATGCCCCAGGGAGGCATACACCCGGACTTCACAGGAGAAACCTACCTTTCAATCTTATCAGCCGTCAAAACAACATGTCCCGACATGCACGTGCATGCCTTCTCGCCTCTGGAGGTGTGGCATGGTGCCACGTCCCTCAACTGCAGGTACGTGTATAAGGCGTACACCCATGCTTAACAAGAAGTGCCTACCTCTTCAACCTCTCAGCTGTGAAGGCAGCATGTCCGGACTTGCACGTGCATGCCTTCTCGCCTCTGGAGGTGTGGCATGGTGCCACGTCCCTCAACTGCAGGTATGGATACATGTATGCATGTGCTTCAAGATGTGCACTGAACATAAAGAAAAAAAAAAAAAACACCGATCCCTAGTTTTGAGGCGCCGCAAAACCGATCCCTTCATTTTGCTGTGGGCATGAATGCATGCACTTTGGTGTGCTTTAAACGTTAGAGTTACGCAAAAAGGCAACTCTTTTACGAACTGCACTATTGCGTGGAAACTGCCCGATGCTTACAAGAACTGTTTCAAAAGTTTCGGGACAGCCAAACCTTCTCGCAATAAAACCACGTGCCGTCCATTGTCCCCACTCTCACCTTTCCTGGCTGAGCGTGCGCGCGTTCACCCTTTTTAAAATCGACTAGATAGCCTGCTTCCTCCTTCGCTTCATCCCTCTCTCGTTTTTCCCCCAACCCCGCACGTGCACCGCAGTGTGCCCCATTTTCTCAAACTCCTCAAGGATGCGGGTCTGGGGTCCCTTCCCGGAACAGCTGCAGAGGTGAGAAGGGTTCGTGCCTCAGTGACTGCAGCGCACCACACTTCCTCCATCTCTCTAAGAATGATGGTTTGGGGTTCCTGCGGTGAGGAGGATTCCTGTCGCTCGGGCGACCCGTATCACATCTAGTACTTAGTTCCAGGAATTTCTTGAAGGTTTTTTTATTATGTTTTATTTACGATTTTGGCCTGACCATCAACCCCGCTCTCGATTCACCCTCTCCAATCCCTCTCCACCAGTGTAGATATTGGACGACTCGGTGCGAGCCGTGCTCTGCCCAGACAAGATCTCAACCGTCCAATGGAGGGAGGTGATCGAGGCCGCTCATTCTGTCGGCCTTCCCACCACCTCCACTATCATGTTTGGCCACGTGGACCATCCCATCCACTGGTAACCATGTGGTAACCACCCTGGTATCTTCGCTAACAGTCTGGGGTTGTTTATGCTGTCGGCCTCCCCACCACCTCCACCATCATGTTCGGCCACGTGGGCCATCCGATTCACTGGTAACCATGTGGTAACCACCTGGTACCTGGTACGCTGGTCTGACTTGGTTTCACTCTCTGTGCTGCTCATGCTGCCAGGCGTCCCGCCACCCCCACCACCATGTTCGGCCACGTGGACCATCCATTGCACTGGTAACCACCTGGTAACCAAATGGTAACCATGTGGGACTTATTGACCCTGTTTGAACTCTGGGTGCTGCTTATGATGCTGCCGCCCCCCCCACCACCCCCACCACCATGTTCGGCCACGTGGGCCATCCATTGCACTGGTAACCACCTGTCGACCACCTGCTACTTGGCGATAACCTGGCATCATTTATATACCCTGCTTAGACTCTGGGTGTTGCGTATGCTGCCTGCCTCCCACCACCACCACCATCATGTTCTGTCACGTAGACCATCCAAAATCCACTGGTAACCACTGTAGCTGGTAATCACCTGGTAACCACCCCCACCTGTTCCTCCCTCTCCCTTGTTTCCTCCCTCTCCCCCATCCCCGCCTTCTCAACCCCCCTATCGCCCCTGCCTGTGCCTCTCAGGGCACGTCACCTGCTGCTGCTGCGGTCCATTCAGGAGCGGACAGGTGGCATCACGGAATTTGTCCCCCTGCCGTTTGTGCATATGCAGGTAGGCACGTGCACGCATCCATTTTTCATCTGGCATGTGCATTTGACGAATGCATGCATGTTCTCAATTATGCTTTTGAGAATTCTCAAAAACGAATGCATGCATGTTATCAGTCATGCATGGGTGTTAGGCATCTGGGTCATGGGAACTGCATCTGGCTTTTGATGCATGCATATACCCCCCTCTCCCTCCCCACACCCCCCCACTAACTATCCCTTTCCCCCCAGGCGCCAGTGTACCTCAAAGGCAGGAGCAGGCGAGGGCCCAAGCTCAGAGAGTGTGTGCTGATGCATGCGGTGGGGCGGCTGGTCATCTCCCTCCCTTGCCACTTCCCCCCCCAACCCTTGATCCGCAACCCATTCCCCCCTCACCCTCCAGGCACCAGTGTACCTCAAGGGCAGGAGCAGGCGAGGCCCCACGTTCAGAGAGTGTGTGCTCATGCATGCGGTGGGGCGGCTGGTGCTGCATCCACTTATTACAAACATCCAGGTACGGGTGGGGCAAGACAGGAGAATGCCATGCTGGGTCACATGGCAACTTCAGAGATAGTGTACTTTTTTGCATGCGATGGGGCGGCTGGTGCTGCATCCACTCATCACAAACATCCAGGTGAGGATGGGGAAATACTTCATACCATGCCATGCCATGCCATGTCACATGACAATATAATAGTGCGTGCTGATGCATGCAGTGGGGAGGCTGCTGCTGCATCCAGTCATCACCAACATCCAGGTGAGGGATATACTTGCACATGCACACATGCATAGCACATGCACACATGTGTATGCACATGCACACATGCGTGTGCACATGCACACATGCGTATGCACATGCACACATGCATATGCACATGCACACATGCGTATGCACATATACACATGCATATGCACTTGCAGACATGCATGTACACACATTCACATGCAGACTTACTATTCTAGGCACATTGATTCAAACTACAGATGGATTAGTGTGTGGTGTGCATATGCCTCCATTCCACCCTTTCCACCATCCACCAGGCCTCATGGGTAAAGATGGGGCTGGAGGGCGTTTCTTGTCTGTTAGCGGCTGGCTGCAATGATGTGGGCGGCACTCTGATGAATGAGAGCATCACACGGGCGGCTGGAGCAGTGCATGGTGCGTGATTATGTGATTGGTTGCAGCATTTAATTATGTCCCTCTTGCACTCCCTATCTGTCGCGTATCCCCCCCCCTCCTCCTCTCTCCACTACCTCCCCTCTCTTTTGTTGCCTAGCCTGTCCTCTCCACCATATACCAACCCACCAGCACTCCAATTATTTTCATCTTTATTATTGCAAATCGCAGGTCAAGAAGTTACAGCTCAGCGCATGGAAGAAGTCATCTATGCAGCTGGTCGTCAACCTCGGCAGCGAACCACATTATACAAGTCTTCTAGTGCAGATTAATTACCGTGTCTGAAATTGATGTATTATTACTATACATATGGTTTCCTGCCTTCTATTTTCGGGCACTGCACAAGCTGTCAATCTAAGCTCACAATAGGATGAATCTGGCTCACATTACCAGCTTCTTAATATATACAGCAGAAGGGCCAGGATTTTACGTAGTCTTAGGTGCTTGTATAAAATAACCTAAACCTTCTTCCGGGTACGCCCTGAAGTTCCGCTGCTCAAGTTCCGCCTCCGCCAGGCCCTCAGAAGTCAGACTTTTTTCTCTGATTTGGGCTTTTTTCTCTGATATTTCAGATTTTTTTTCCTGTGTACTCTGATAAAATCAGACTTTTTTGGGCCTCAACTCTGTAATTTTCAGACTTTTTTTTGTTGGAAATAGTGAATCTTAAGCGCTTCAGTCGTGTCGAAACATCGCACCAGAAGCGAAGCAAGCTGTATCGAAACAAACGCGAGTCAACCTTCGGAGGTTGAGAAGTTGCCGGAGGTTACGCGAAAGTCAAAGGTCAAGCGACCTTTGACCTGACAAATACAGCGCGACAGTTAAGGACACACAACTGACTTGTTACAGAGCAGTTGCCCGAGTCGTACTGTATCGAACCGCAACAGCAACAGTAAAGTAGTTACAAACTGCATCCTTTCATATTCCTTGTATTATTATATAATCTTGTACTTCCTTGCTATAATCAATCTACTTTGCCCTCATATACCAGCGCAAGGTGGTTCACAAACTTTGTTAAACGCTTCCGCTATTACAACACTATCCCACCCAGAGTTCTCCCTTGAAAAGATCCTAAGGGGCTATCTCAGCCCAACATGGTATGAGAGCAAACAGGGGAAACTCTACTACCTTCAAATCATTACAAGACATGGCAACAAGCAAGGAAAGGAGCTCATCTAACGGCTCCCCAGGCACTACTCCTACTCCACCTCCTGCCTCTGGCCTGCAGACAGAGGAAGGCACGGCAACAAGACCAAGAATGACATCTACTGAGACTCCCGCAAATCACCCCGCGAACTTCGACCCGAGTATAATGGAGAAGTTCTTCTCCTTCATGTCCTTCTACGAGCAGCACCAGCAGTCGGGACCTGCACAATCACACAACAGCAACAACAACGGAGCGACACCCATGAGCCTCGACGGGTCGTCATATGCACGCGGAAACCAACAGCAGCAACCTACCTTCGCCCCGTACGAGCGCGGGTCGATCAGCTTCATGCCGCAATCTTCACCTGCACAAGACAAGCCACTGGACGCGTTACAAGTGCAATCACAGTTCGCGCACGTTCTAAAACTGCAGACATCAAGACCTTTCGACGGAAAGGACTTCTTTACTTGGTCATTCGAGTTTGAGTTAATGATGGAAGGCGCGCAGATACTCGGCTTCTTCGACGGGTCCCTGCAATATCCAGCAAACGGCACACAGTATGAGAAGCAGCAGTACACGTATCAATCGATGATGGCGTATACGATTCTGCTGAGGAACGTCACACCAACTCAGCAGCAGAACATACGCTCTTACCGGGGTTACGGCAACTCCGCTGAGCTCGCGTACAGCCACCTGAAGAGCCTGTATCAAGCAACAGACAGCGTAAACCAAAGCAAGTTAATGGCGCAGTTGACAACAGTTGAAATGAAACCGGGAGAAAAGGGGATGACGTATATCAGCCGATGTCGCGAACTGCGCGACAAGCTTCTTCGATGCGGAGGATCGATCTCCGAGGACGCCTTCGTGACAGTCATCATTGGTGGTCTCGGTCCCCAATGGCGCGCCACCAAAGCTATCCTCCGAGCCCACGGCAGAATTTCTGAAGCAGCACTCTGCGCCGAAATCCACGCCGAGCAGCAGGACATGGACCTGCAAGAAGAACGACACAGAAAGAAGACGACAACATCAGAGTTCGCGTTTCACACTCAACGACGTCACAACAACTACAACAATCGACAGCAACAACCGAAGCCAGTACCTCCTTTCTGCCACATCTGCAAGACTTCAGGGCACCCGCGCACACATTGCCCAAACCGTCAACAGTCAACAACTCCGCAGCGGCATCTACGGCCTTCAAGCAATCAAGTTGCGTCAACACAGGCGAACCCGACGACTCAAATTCAAGCTTCAACGACCTCAACGGGACAACCTGCACAAGAAACAAGAAATATCGTTAGCTGCATGGCAAGACTGAGTGACTCTTGCGTCACGGAATCACCACCATACTACTCACCAGAAGAACAGCTCGATGAAACGACACCTCGCCGCGAAGCACTTCAACCGAATCCAACCTACGCAGCCATCGCCCAAAACGAGCCATCCGGAAAAGACACGTGGTTCTTGGACAGTTGCTGCGGGCAACACATGTGTTCTTCAGGACGCTTCGTGCAGCGAGAGTACCAGCTTCAACGGGAAGTTGTCATCACCGTCGCCAACAATCAGAACCTGCGCACACGACGACAAGGAGTTGTTCAACTTCAGTCACGAGAGACAAATGTTATTTTGCAGATGTCCAAGGTCCTAATCGCAGAGGGCTTGGGCTACAACTTACTGAGCGTCAGTCAGTTGATGGCGAAAGGCATTCATCTTGAAGCAGACAGCACAACTCAAGAGTTCAAGCTGTACCACGGAAGGGGAGGTCTCTACATCGGGAAGGCGGTCCTCAAGAACAACGTCTTCGTTCTCGACTTCGTTCCCGATCTTGGCACGGCCGACAGCGACGCCATCGTAAACTTCACCAACTGGACACATCCTCCAGATCTTGATCCAGACTTCAGTCCGAGCGGTTTCTGGTACTCGCACACCATTTCTGAAACAGAGAGAACAAGGGCATTAGCGACAATTCAGCAGTCGACAGCAGCAGAGACAACATCGGCAGCAGCAGAGACAACATCGGCAGCAGCACAGACAACATCAGGAGCAGGAGAAACAACATCGACAGCAGCACCGACAACAGCAGCAGCAGCAGAAACATTAACACCAGTCACTGGTCCCTCAACGGCAAAGCCCTTCATCAACGAGATGCCGCCGACACCGGCACAGCAGCTCAACCCGGCACCATAGGAAGTTCACAGAAGCGCGAACATCATCGCCGGCTTCTACTCCAACTCCGACATGTACCGACGCTCGCCAGGACACCGCGCCAATGAAGAAACCTGGCACGCAAGAATGGGACACCCAAGCAACACAGTATTAAACAACACGATAAGAGCTGGAGTACTTGACAAGGATTCACTCTTACTGACCGACGGCAGAGAACTTCAGCGAGCTCGAGGAACGTGCTTCACCTGCCCCGAAGCTGACTTACCACATCAGCCCTTCGTTTCGCATCACAACCCAAGCGCACCCGCATATGCACCACTCGAGAAAGTGTACAGCGACATCTTGTACAACCGCGAACCCGGACAAAACGCGTATAACTACACCATCACCTTCATCGACGCCGCTACACGTTACGTCTGGCACCTAAACTTACCAAGTCGCGACATGGCTTTCGAGGCTTTCGTGGCATGGCTTCCAGCAGCAGAACGGGAATCGGGAGCTAAGCTCAAAAGTTTCCAATCAGACGGAGGAGGAGAATACTCGTCACAGCGGTTCAAGCAGTATCTGGCGGAGAAAGGAATCAAGAGACTCATCTCCCTTCCCTACGCCCATCAACAGCAGGGTGTAGCAGAAAGGATGAACAGGACTCTGCAGAACACCATGCGCAAACTGTTACGTGGCATGCGGCTACCCAACCACCAGTGGCCCGAGGCAATGGACCACGCCGTGATGCTGCACAACTTGCTTTCTTCGTCGTCACTCCCGAACAACACATCACCGCATCTGCTGTGGACAGGGAAACTGGGCAGCACAAAAATGTTACGAGTCTTCGGCTGCATGGTACAGTACCGACCCCCATCTGCACGAGCCGGCCGATTCTCCCAACGGGCACAGTGGGGACTACACCTGGGCATAAAAAAACATTACAACGCGTGGAAAATCTTCGACATCCACACCAAGGAAACAGTAGCAGCACGTGATGTCATTTTCTACGAGCGGCTCACACTGCCAACATACCTTGCCAACCTGGACGAAAATCGAGACCCCACAGGTGGCTTCCGTGGCGATCGAGCCTTCGCTTCGGCAGGAGACGAAGCTGACTGGGACGAGCAGAACGTGGAAGGAGCCTCGGAAGAAGCCGGACCTCTCCCCTACTGCTCAGTGGACGTACCGATGGACGAAGATAACCCTCGCGAAAGCGTCAACGCCGAAACCTACTACCACTTCGCCGACAACGGTTACGTAACACCTGCTGAAGTCAACACCAACGAAGCAGAACGCATAGGGCCCAACTTCGCACCTGATCCAGAAGCTGGAGACGAGGCAGTCTATCCCGAGGACACCACACTCCCCCGCTACACACAGAGTGGACTCCAGATACTCGGGCTCGTCACCGCGGTCCACGGCGCCGCCATTCCTAAAGAGCCTGCAACGGTTCAGCAGGCTCTGGGGGGGGAACACAGGGAAAAATGGCGCGAAGCCATGGACAAGGAGCTGAAAGCGCTAGAAGAACGCAACACCTGGAAAATCGTTCCTATCGGTGTAGCACGAAACAAGACCATCCTCACCGGAAAATGGGTCTTCCGCGTGAAGACGAAAGCAGATGGCACCATCGACAAATTCAAGGCGCGCTGGGTCGTACGCGGCTTCGACCAAGAGCACGGACGCGACTTCACCGAAACCTTTGCTCCGGTCAGCCGACACACCTCACTACGCATTCTCCTCGCAATCGCCGCCATGAAGAAGAAAAAGCTACGACAAATCGACGTCGCAAACGCCTTTCTCTACGCACCTGTTGACGCAGAAATTTTTGTGGAGCTGCCGCACGGCTCCAACACAGATTCCACGCATGTCTGCCAGCTGCTCAAGTCGCTTTACGGAATCAAACAGGCCCCGCGACTATGGCAGCAATACCTGCACGCTCGTCTCATCCGCATCGGCTTCAAGCAACTCCCGCACGACCAA